TAAGGCACCGTCCGCGTCCCGCACGCTCCCTGGCGGCTGCAGGGCCACGGCCCGGGGACGCGACTCGGGAAGGAAGGCGGGCTTGTGAGCGCCCTTCCCTGCCCCGTCTCGTAGCGGTAACCACAGAAGGATGCTCGATGTGTTTCGTTCAAAAAGGCATCTGGAAACGAGCAGACGAAACTTAATGTAGGCTAAAACTTAAAATAGCTTAAGTCTTGATTGCATTTTATGTTGCTGAACTTGTCCTTTAGAACATTTCCTCTTGCTTTGGATCTGGGGTCTGGAAGAGGTTACATAGCTCAACATTTAACCAAGGTACCGTGTCTTCATACTTTAGTGTGTTTAAAGTAAGTATGTTTTTATCTCTTTATTTTCCAAGAGGTCTCTGTTGTAACTTAAAACAATCCTCTGAGTCTTGGTGAGGTAACTCCTCAGGTATTTTTCCTCTCACATCTGTAGCTACAGTCCGAAGACGTGTGTTGTGCAGGCTGTTATGCTCTTGCCACTGAAGGCTAGGCAGATAGGAGTGCGGGGAAGCTGCCCGTTGTATGACGCTTTAACCTTTGGTGTTGAGTAGGGAGATGTACGTTTTTCAACCCACCTTTGTTGGATGCATTTAGTTGTCAAAGCAAAATATCATTATGAAGATTTGTAAATGGTGAACAGTTTACTTTTTGTGAACTGTGCTGTAAGTAAGGGTACTTCATTGGCTGTTAATCCATGTTTTATATCTGACTGAACTTATACCTAAAAATGCAGAATGTGTTTTCTGTTACTACTTTTACCTCAGCTGTTCTCCCTGGGAGCAATTACTAAGTATTGTGTTGAGGGGGGAAAATGTTTTGTGCTTTCCATAAGGTTTTATCAAGTGTTAAAGAGATTTCTTCCAACTTATTATACATATGTGTGAACATTCCAAAAAATGACTAACATCAGCTTGTAAAACAACTTAAATATTTGATAGACTTTCAAAATTTTATTTCAGGAAACCATTGAAAAGCTTATTCAAGTTGATATTGCAGAGAATGCTTTAGTAAGTAGCTTTCTGAATGCTAATGTCCTTCAATTCCATAACACAGGAAAGCAAAAGTGAGTTTCTGATGTTGTTTTTCTTCTAACACAACATTAGAAAAATGCTGTAGAATCTGAAATCCCTACGGTCAATGTTGTAGCTGATGAGGAATTCCTTCCTTTCAAAGAAGATACATTTGATCTTGTTGTTAGCAGCTTAAGGTATGCGTTAATCATTTATTTACATTTTATTTTTTGGTTAAAGGTGTTAAACAATGTTCTTTTCAGAGTAACTTTAAGGAAAAGAGAAAGATTAATAGTCCATTAAACAGCACTAAGAAATATGCTTGCATAGCTAATATGAGCGTGCATTATGAATAACTGCTGTCTTGGTGGTTCTTACAGTTTTGTTCCTTTGCTTTCCTTCAAGACACATGTAGCTTCTCTTTCCTGGATTTTGACAAACTAGTCTCCAGGACTTGTATCTTCCCAACTTCAAACAAAGAAAATAAAAAACTATTTTTATGAACTTTGGTTTTATTTAGTATCACTTTTAGGAAGGCATTTCAGAACTTTTGCAGCTTGAGAAACCAGTTCGTTGCTTTCGCTTCCGAAATATACTTGGGTAATATAATTATTTGAATTCCCTAAATTTTATTTAATACACAATTATAAAATGTATGCTTCTGTTATTTCAGTTTACATTGGGTGAATGACCTTCCTAGAGCTTTTAGAGAGGTAAGAAACTGTTTTGTAATACTAAAAATCAGCACTTGCCATTACTTGCATGCAGAGTGCTCTATATTTCCATGTCTTGTTTAAATAAGAGGCACAGAAATAGCTTATATTATGCACAAGTATTTTTTTGCAATATTTTTGGCAGTTTGTGGAGCATCAGTTGGTATTTCTACTCATTTGCTGTCTCAAATCAATTTGAAATAAATTACTGTGAAACATCATGTTTGTATAATATTTTATAGTCTTAACAGCTGAGATCATGGTAACTAATGTAAACTGAGGCAATGCTATTGATTTTTGTGGGTTAGCTCTTATTGCTTGTCATACAAGAGTTTTCTAAATCTCATTTCTCCAGAACTTGTTTATGGAACTTGTATTATTTTCATGTCTCGGCTACTTATTTTGAAATATAACTTTAATCAGATAAAGGCAGCTTTTTTTTTTTTTTTTTTTTTTTTTTTTAAATGAAGCAAATATTTGTTAAGGACAGAAAACTGAAACTGTTACTGAAAAAGTCTGATTTTGGATTATTTCAGCTCCTTCCTGCAGATGAAAACCTTTTTCAAATCGGCTAACTTGAGAGCAAGAGCAAGGAATATTTTAACCAGTTTGCTGTTTTTTCATTTATTTCAAAGTGGTCAGTCATTACAGTGCTATTCTATCACCTTTTGGTATGAATAGGAGTACCCTGCTGTCAGGGAAATAAAAATAGACATCTGAATGCCTTCAGTGTTTTAAAAAAAAAAAAAAAAAAAAAAAGGCAAGAAAAAAAAAAGGCTAAAAGGCTTGGAAAGAAATATATAATTTTCTTTGAAATGTAAGTGTTCTATGGAGTGTTGAATATTTTTACCTCCATAGTAAAAATAACTGATGCATTATAATGCCTCACAACAGGGAGGGAACTGGAGTTCTTGGCCAACTTTCATCATGAATGTTCATTTCCTACTTTGGGACTACTGGCTTTAACTAATAGAAGGCTAAAAGGCTTGGAAAGAAATATATAATTTTCTTTGAAATGTAAGTGTTCTATGGAGTGTTGAATATTTTTACCTCCATAGTAAAAATAACTGATGCATTATAATGCCTCACAACAGGGAGGGAACTGGAGTTCTTGGCCAACTTTCATCATGAATGTTCATTTCCTACTTTGGGACTACTGGCTTTAACTAATAGAAACAGCCTTCAACTGCTTAAACTTCTAACCTGTCAATTAAAGGCTTATTTAGTAGCATAGAAAAGGTAGCTTGATTAATAATAATAATAATAAAATAATTAAAATAAATACTAATTAAAAAAACAGTTTAAAATATTTTTGTTTCAAATCATTAGGGTAAACTCTTTGAAGCTCTTGCTGTCTTGTTAGCCTGATTATGTAATGTGGCTCTTCTGGATATCTAAACCAGGGGTCATTGCCAATTCTTAAGGAAAAAAGAAAGTATTAATTTGTTGGCCTTCTTCAGTAGGAACGGGGCTAGGACTTACTAGACAAGAAAGCAGCTTGTCAGCCTTGGTGCTTTAGTAATGATACTGCTATTCTGGCTAGTTAAAAATAAGTAGGGGTAGACACAGTAAGAGTTGCACTACTCTATTGTGCGTTGAGAAGTGCAAAGATCACTACTAGAAACTAAGGTCTTCATTTCTCTTAAGCCCTTAAAAAGTGTTTTTGCTGCCCTCATCTGAGAAACTAAAAGTAAGCAGAAGCTGTCTGAATCTACCTTATTTTTCAGAAGTAAATTCCTTGAGGATATTGGTTTAGGAGTATTCCATTGAAAATAGTTTTACCCTAGATTACCACAGTCCATTTTGTGTTTCCTGACTGTCAGTTTACTTTCTGGGGATTCACTCTTTCTTAAGAACAAACAGTCTCTTTTTGGACAGATTATTTATCTTGCAGTATTACCAAAAGCTTTGGCGCAGCTTGCCTTGTAGACTACAGTCAATATTAAAAAAACTATTAAAACTATTATAATGATTGTTTTAAGTTCATTTAAAAAAAGAAAAAAGTCCTAAGAACTTCTTAGTTACATAGGCTTAATAACAAAAAACTTTTTTTTTTTTCTGTGTTGTAGATTCACCAAGTTCTTAAGCCAGATGGAGTATTCATTGGTGCAATGTTTGGGGGAGACACCCTGTATGAGCTTCGCTGCTCTTTGCAGCTAGCAGAATTGGAGAGGGAAGGGGGATTTTCTCCTCACGTATCACCATTCACTGCCGTCTCTGATTTGGGGCATCTGCTGTCGAGAGCTGGCTTTAACACCCTGACTGTGGTAATTATAAATAGGACAATAATCAGACAGAACAGTCCAGAACATCAGAGCTGCTGGTATATAAAAAATACTATTTACAAATGTATTAGTAATGTGCTGCTTCCTTCTGCATGTCAGGCACCTTGCTGAATAAGTTTCTGAAATAGCCTGGACTGCCTCTGTTCTTGGCTTCACTGTGATTAATGAAACCAACTGAAGTGTATCTTTGGCTAGTGGCCCCGTACAAGTTGAATGGTCTTGGAGAAATGTCAGAGTATGTTAGAGCTGCTAGACACTCTTGCTGTTTCTTCTAAAGCCAAGAAGAAAATAATGGCATTTCAGTTAAAATTTGAGTGCATTTGGGCTACTAAGCAAAACTTCTTAGAAATGTTAAGACAGTATATTCTTCTGAGAAATACGCAGTTGGAACAGAAGTGGTAGATGAGTAGTTTTTTAGCAGCTCTGAAGGCTAGCATAATGCTACTGGTTTAGCTTGATATGCTCTAAAACTAGGCTTCTCAATTCTTTTAGGATACTGATGAAATTCAGGTCAACTACCCAGGGTTGTTTGAGGTTATGGAAGATTTGCAAGGCAAGTATATACTTTATGGAAACATACATGTTTTCTGTATCAGTGATGCAAACGCAGAAGAATTTCACTGTGTGTTTCTTAACTCCAAATCATAGAATGGTTTGGCTTGGAAGGGACCTTTTAAAGGTCATCTAGTCCAGCCACCCTGCAGTGAGCAAGGAAATCTTCAACTAGATCAGGTTGTTCAGAGCCCTGTCTGGCCTGACCTTGAATGTTTCCAGGGATGAGGCATCTGTCACCTCTCTGGGCAACCTGTTCCAGTGTTATCACTATCTGCTTCATAAAAAAGTCTTCCTTAAAAAGATATAAATAATAAATAGTTTATTGTAACAGTGGAAGCATTACTTTTTTCCTTATCTCTGGTGAGTCAGGAGATTATGCCTGTCTGCAGATTTGTGTTGGGAAGCAGACGTCAAAGATTTGCTTCTTCGTGGCCTTCTATGAATTTTCCACTTCCCTTGTGCTCCCCTTCTTTGTGAGCCTGTTCAGTGTAAGCTGCTGAAAAGCCCTGAAAGGGAGACAGAAGCATATATCCTACATACTAACTTTTCCTGCGAGCCTCCCTAATTATCAGGACATTCAGGAAACTGCTTTGGAATGAGACTAAATAGACCCTCAAATTGGAGTCTGCTGAGGAAGCAAAAACAATTGAGATGCTTAACAATTGAGTTAGTGTTTTGATCTCATTTGTCACAGATTGTGAAATAGTCACTCATATGCAGTCAGCTGTTACTTACAGAGCAATTCAGGGTGTCTTACTTCGAATCAGCTGCTGTTGTTTAGAGTAATTCCTTAATGAAAATAGAATGTCCATTCTCTGCAGAAACATTCAGATGCAGTAAGTGATTAAAGAGCTTAGATTTGTGGTTGGTTTATTTCTTACTAAAAATCTCTTGGGATAGTAATTTTGATGCTTATCTGGTAAAAAAAAATACGTTCGAGTGGTGTGTCTGAATAAACACTTTGTACTTGTGCTTAAAGTAAATTATACTGGGAAAATTTAAATGTTTGAAGACTCAGGCTGAAGAAGTAATAGTTTGAAATCATTCCTAGCAATGCAAACTGCAAAGCATTGGCATTAAAAGGCTTGGATTCTTATAGGTAAGAAACTCGCCTAATTATTTGTGGTAAGTTGTTGTGTCTCACAGTGACATTCAGAGGATTCTATACTTACTCTGGCTTAGTAAAAATCTGTCATTAGTGCATGACACTTAACTCATGGCATATGCTATATCTTCTTTTTCTTAAAGCTAAAACATATTTTTAGGTATGGGTGAGAGTAATTGCTCTTGGAATAGAAAACCTCTGCTACACAGGGAGACCATGTTGGCAGCTGCTGCAATTTACCGAGGTAGGTATTTGAGAGGTAGTGAGTTAATCTGAAATGACTTTAAGAACATATTTTCTGTGTCATTTTCTCTGACCTCTGGGTGTTTGGGGTTTTTTTTAACACAAACAAAAATGCAAACATTTGGGAATAGAACAAAATACCATTATCGTACAGGTATTTTTAACCTTAATTATGATGGGATTTGAACTATGTTGATACACCAGTATGAGATATTTTTATTGTCCCAAATCTTGTCACTGAGTCATTGTGATGAATATGTCGTACTTAGTTCTCATGTTCTGAGGACTAAATATTTCTTAGAACTGATGTTCTGTGTACCTTGTTTTTTTTCTCCTCTCCCTTCCTGCCCTAACAGAAATGTATGGAAATAGCGATGGCTCGGTACCTGCCACGTTTCAGATATACTACATGATTGGCTGGAAATTCCATGAGTCACAGGTAATGTGAAGCTGAACTATTTTCTGTTTGAAGGTACTTTTTAAATTACTGATGCTTTAAAAGCTTTTTGCAAAATATTTTAACTTAAAATTAACTCTCTCTTTTTTCTTATTTTTTTCTTAGGCAAGACCAGCCCAGAGAGGTTCTGCAACAGTTTCATTTGGAGATCTGGCGAAAATAGATGGACTTCTTTCAAGAGGAAAAAAATAGTTCTTCATCAGAAATAATAGTTGTCTTGAAGCTTCTATAAAACTTCTCATTGCAAATAGTCCTCACTTGTGCTTATTTTGTGACGATACTCTGCAATTATGATAATCTTCACACAGCAGGTGTTTGGTTTTTTTACTGCCTATGCTGCGACATCAACTGTGTGAAATGGTGTTCACTTTTTTGTTTCTAGAGAAATATTTGAGTGGTATTCAAAGTGAATACATACTCTCCCAGCTTTTGACTAAATTACTATTCTCAAATGTAATGCCTCTTCCAGCCCCACAACTGGAAATATTTCTAAACATGAATAGTAGAGCTCAGCCATAAAGAAAGTTGGATGCTTCATTGTAGCTCAGCTGAATGTATGTAACATGATTTGACTCAATTTACTGGAAGGAGTAGCAAGTGGAAGAGTCCCCTAGCACTCGGATGTGTATGTTTCAAATCCTTTAATTAGCATAGAATTGGCATTCTCTGGAGTTGGTACTCTTTTGGAGATCCATGGCTTTTTTGACCTGTTCTTTTATCTCATTGCATATGAAAAATTATCTAAATATGAGTTATAAGTTACATATACATGTTACTTTCTGCTTTTCTACTGGCAGAGGCTGAAAGACATGAAGTATACTTTTTTCTCCTGAGCTCTGACACGGAGCCATGGCTTTTCCTGTATATAACTGCATTACCAGAAATTGAGGTTAGTTACAAATATGGCCCATTAACCTGGGGTGTTTAGAAAAAATAATCTATGCAGAGATTTCACTTGATTGTAGTACTGATAGAGAGTGGTAGAAGCAAAAAGCATGAAGGATATATAATCAGGTATACCGTTCAATCAGTTTTATCATTGTATCTAGGTGTTGTATCAGTGCTGGTGGAAATGAAAGCTTCTCCAGGCTTGTGTTAAGATTATCCAGCAGGTGGAGTTTGACAGAGTGGTGTGGCACAGACCAAATAGGCAAGGTAGGCAGAAGCCTTTGTATTCTGTCAAGGATTATTGAATTGTGATTCAAAGACTAATACAGATATTAAAGTTACCTCTTGCTGCTTAACCAATGTTCAATTTTCAAAATAACAGAAATGCTGTTTAAAAATAAACTATTCATGTGGTATTCAGCTGGCTAGAAGATGAACTTAAGGGTCTAATTTGGGGGGTTATTTTATCTACCAGGCTTTGACTTTGAGTGAGAAATGGACAGAGAAGGTACAAAACATTGTGATAAGGAGGGTAGGAATACTCAGTACTGCTTTTGCTTACAAGCCTAAATCCATAATTATTCAAGGGGAATGAGTTCATCTTTCATTTTCCTTAGAAAAGAACAGTAACCCTCCTGGAAAAAGGAGGAGGGGCTGTAAGTGGTCTGATAACCTTTGTAACCCTTAGCACTAAATCTAAAACAAGAGCTCGTATCTCTGAAAGCCTCCTTTTTTGGGGGGGGGAGGGGAGGGAGGTTGATTGAGGTTTTTTTTGTAGCACATCAGTGGACTTCATACAAGATACTGCATCTTTCCACAGATCTTCTCTGGCTTAAATAAAATTCACTTATTCCAAGGGGAAGCTTTCCAGTTTCCCAGATGTAGGCTTCCATGAAGTTGTGTCAAATGACTGTAACTTTATGCACTTTTGCTTTAGTAGGTTAATTTCCAGTCGCTTGAGCTGGCGGTTATGACTCAGATGTGTTAAGGGAATGAGGAGGTGGAATGTGCTGGGTAAATGTTAATTGGAGAAATGCTCCTACTGTGCTTGTTTGAAGCACTTGGTTGAGAAAAGGAAGGATTTCCAGTTCTTTGATTCCATATTCTGGAATATGTAAACAGTAAAGTAGGTAAGACTGTGATTTGGTAATGGGGGAGTGTACCTCCTGAACAGGGAGAAATAGAAGAGTAGTTTTCTTCCTAGCACTTAGCAGGGGGGGAAAAAAAGTTTAGATATTCTGTTAACTTGGAAAAGGACTGGGGAGTAGTAGAAGTGAGGAATAATAAATATGGCATTGGAGCAGTGTTGATTTGAGTTAGGGGGCATGCAACCGACAGCTGAGGTGTTTATTTCACTGGCTGGCTGTGTTTGAATAACTGCCTTTTATGTGTGTTTTTAACTGCAGGGGTTTTTTTCCCTGTAGTATTTCTTGGAGTTCTAGCTTACTCTGGTTTCCAGTAGTCACTTTCTTTGTATGGCACTTGAATGAATAGCTTTGAAAACCGTTAGTTTACTATGAACAGATGTTTTTGTCACATAAGGCTCTGTTAAATTCGAATTCTCTTCTTCAGATTTAAGTCTTTATGGCTTTCTAAAATTGTAGCCAGTTGCTAGTCTAGAAATTATTTTAAACTCTAAGTACATGTTAAAAATCATCTTTTGCAGAGTAACTTCTAAAAAGTAGTTGCTAAGGTGACAATGTCTTGTAAGCTTAGTTAGTTTTTAAAATCTTTATGAATAATACAGAATGTTTTTCTCCTGATGATAGAAGAATGGAAAAAGGAATTCTAGGAGATAATTATTTTGACTAATCAAAAGTTAGAAGCCCATAAATAAAAAAAAGTTTAGAAGCAGCATGTTTACACTTAATGAACACTGGTATTTTTGAGCCTCAAAAAGGTTCTGAGGGTCTGAGTCATAGATCAGCGAGCATGCTTGTTCAGTGTCTTTGATTACAAGATCTGTCAATGTATAGTTTTATGTAAGTCTGCTTAGGATATAGGGATGATAACGAGGCCTTACATCTTGCAACCCAAGCATTAGATTTTGCAGATGTCATGCTTTCAAAAGACTGAGAATTTGTGAAGTTAAAACATGTGAAAGGCTTCTTGATTATCTCTAATTTACAAAAATGTCAGCAGAAGTACATAGTGAACCATACAAAATTAAATTTAACTGTTTTTTTACGCTGCTTAAAAAAAAGGAATAAACACGAATGACACTTTTTTCAATGTTTTCTAGAAGTCAGCTAAAACTAAAGCTTGTCAGTTGTGGGGGTAGAAACTTGCCAATTTTTCATACAGTGTTTAATTAGAATTTCCTGATGCAAAGATCTGATCTAGTGGATTAAATTTATTAGAGCATCTTCTTCAAGAAGCCACATTAAGAAAGCTAGCATATGTGTTAAACCATTTAAATTTCCATTTGTCTAACCCAAGAACTTAATATCCACTTTTCAAAGACATGATCTATTTTGGTCCAGATTTTGGAGCCATTATCTAGGGGGTGTACAGTTATAGTAGTTTGATTGGAATCAGTCTGAGCACTGAAGCATGTGACCTGTATAGATACTTGGTTCATTTCCTGAATATCTTAGGTGCCCTCAGGTGAAGGAAAAGTAAAAAGAGAATAAAGAAAAAGAAAAACCTGAGACAGTTGAGTTTTAGCCGAAGGCTGCATATTGGTGTGAAGTAGAAAACACTGAAGAGAGTGCATGTGCTTCTTGTAGGGGAAAACAACTTGTGGCTTAAATCAAGCTAGAATTAAAATGCTTTGGTTTATTAATTGCTTGTAATTAACTGTTAGCCCATGAACTATACATGCAGGATTAATAGCAGCAATATGACAGATAAGTGACTGACTAGACCCTTACAAAGCCTTAGTAAACACCTTCAGATACCTAAACACATCTAAACAGCAATCCCTGACAAGTTTGCAGTTATGTGCTCACCTCTATCCCTTTAACAGGAGGTTTGGGTTAGAAGAGCCCACCCTTCCCAGGAGCACGTTAGCCTATTTTCCATGCATCTTTGGAGATGGGGATGCTGTAGCTGCATGCATACCTGTGTTGTTCCCTATGCTTCACTAATCCACCCACTTGTTGGACAGCACCCCACGAGGGGATGCGCAGTCAGTGCTTGTTGCACCCTGTACTGTCAGCCCGCTGGCAGGCATGCAGGCTGCTCCTGGCTGCTGGGGAGGGTGATCCCATAGGCCTCAACAGAGCTTGAGATGCCAGGAGGGCATTTTCTCGGTGTCAGTCCAGGTTTTGACTGCTTCTCTCTTCTCACTGTTAGAAATGTTAGTGCTTTGGATACTTGATTTTAAGCTGATGCTTTTTTCCCCACCCAAGGTCTCTTGGTAACTGTTTAATCTGGCTGATGGTTGTCTTCGTTTTCAGCCTTACCAGATTGTGAGCAAACACGCTCTCAGTTTTGGATATTCTGTTCACACACATTACACTTGTATTTATATCTTAGCAGCTGATATTGTCGCGGCTTTTTTGCCAGGAGGAGGCCACGTGGATTGGCTCCATGACTTGGAGCTGTTTCTTGGGGTACAAGGTGCATTCATAAAGAGACAAAGTTCTCCTCAGAAAAATGTTTCTGTTTGGAACCTCATGTTGGAGCAGTCATGATGAATACTGGGGAATCGTATTTGGCCTCAAAGTGTTCATGGTAGGCCAGAATGTATCACAATACAGCAGTCTCCTAATGGCTTCATTTTTACTGCACTAATGAATCCCAATTCATGCATTTGTTTTTCTGTGTTCTGTAGGGATTCCTTATACTTTGTGCAAGTAAAGTGCAACTTGAAGTTGTGATCTGCATGTTGAGTGACTTCTAATCATTGACCTATTCTTTTAATATTGCACCCAGAGTTTGTGTGAGTACACTAAGAAAATAAAGAATAAAACTACCCTTGTGAATAAATGTATTTATCAAGAAAATTTCTATACTTCTGTTCAAATATAATTCCTGGTTTCATAGATTACAGAACTACAGGGACAGAAATGTGTTGGATACATTTCTGCTGTATATAATACCACCTTTTTAGCCAAATAAACAACCTAAAAAAAGTGACTATTTTACTTAGTATATGCATTACTTTAAATGGTTTGAAGACCTAATCTTAAACTTTTTACTTCTAAGGTGAAGTACCCTAATATTAAGAAATTACTTATTCTGTAGAAATAGTATCCAAAATGAACAGTTTACTAAGGGAATCTAATGGGTAACAGGTCTAGTAACTAGTAACTTCAAATTTTTTGTTGATACTGGAATTCCTGTACTCTGTTTTCTCCCTGAACAGAGCCACCGATGGATGTATGTAATGTCCCCTTTTTAGCTCCTCCATCATCTCATCTCTACAAAGTGTATATATATACTTCTTTAGCATCTAGGTGGCACAAGCATCCATTCTTACCAAAAGCTACTTAAGGGATGTCAAGTCTCCTACTTATTTTCTACTATGTATTCTATTTTTCTTTTTGTGAAGATCTATTAGTTTATTCCAGTTCTAGAATTACTCACTGCTTTAATTTGGTGCAGAACTTACTGACTTTTGATAGAGGACTTCTGATGTTATTTCTTAATATCAGAGTCACTTTCACTTTTGTAATTAAAAATGTAATTCCCATAAAGAACCACTTTAGATTTGATGATTATATTCCCAGTCAGTATTTTTCCTGACTCAGCAGCAGAATGCCCAGTCTTACAGGAGTAATATTGCTGGTTTGAGGCAACAGCTGTAGCAAGATTTAGTTGGTAAACTAATGCTGAACTTCCTAGGTAGCCAGGTTCAAAATATAGACCAAAGTCATGTCACAGCCATTTGCATAGCATCCCATCCATGCCTGATTTTTTGCCTGTCAATTTCTTTAGTTGCCTATAGTTATTTCTGGAATTCCAAAAAATAGCAGAGATGTAGCTACTGCCAAGAGGTTTTGTTAGTCACATCTCAAAGCATTCCTTAGATTATTTTGCCTACAGGAGTCAGCTTAGAAGGTATTCTCAGGAGGAGCTGTGGTGCTGTTCAGTCAGCAGGCATAGAGCACTTGTTTGATGTGTGGATGATTGATCTTCGATTACCACCTTTCACAAAACAAATGAAAACATCTGAAGTTTATATGTAAGCTTTCCAAATAGTAGCTTACAGTTTGGATTTGGTTTTGTTTGGTTGTTTTTTTTCTCTCCTTGCTCAGTGGATCTTTGTTGTATGAACACTGAATGGATTGGGTGATTGCATCTATATTCAGGACGTTTTACTGCATGGTGGCTGGTACTTTTTGGTAGATGGGAGTTAATTATCCCTTATTCAGAAGAGAGAATTTAATTTATAGCTTCTACAACTCTGTGGTTAGCTATCTCAAAGTTATGGAATTAAAAGGTAATAGTATGATTTTTTTTATTGTCCCCTGAGATATGCTTGGAGTAGACTTAGTTGTTTCACTTTGGGAAAGGATTCAGGTTTACAAACCCAAAGGCTTCATAATTGCAGGGAAGTGTTTCCTTGCGGTTCCCTGCAGAGAGTTAGTATATCTTCACAAATGTAAAATCACTCTGCGTCTGTGCTCCTTGCTGGTCTTTTCTACTGGGCAGCTCAGCTTTGTTTTACCAGCTTTCCTAGATGTCTGAACAGTCACACAGAGACAGTGAGTAATTTCAGAAATCTTGAGCATCGAAGTCAGAGTCCCTTAGCTGTAAAAGGATCTAAGAGTTAGGTGTTACAGTACTGAGTACTGCAGCATACAAATGCTTCTGTACATCTACGGTCTCAGATTCTGCTTTTGAGTATTGCTGAATAACTCCATTTAATTGTACTGTAAATATTATTGGGTTTCTAGCGGTTAACCATCTTGAAAACACATCAACATGACTTAGTAAGTGTAACACTTGAAATGAATTTACAAATGAATCTTGGCATAAGACAAATGTATTTTAACACTGCAGTTTGTATGCCTGCTCTCTGCATATTTATTTTCAACCTCCAGTTGATTAGCTGCTTTGTCTTGTGTACAGAAATGGCCTGTTTAATGCAGTGGGAAGTCAAGTAGAAGCCGGCATTTGTTAATGGATGCTTAGAACAGGCACAGTCAGATGTTTTAAATTATTCTAACTAAGCAGTAATTGTAATTTATTTCTAAAGATAGAAGTATAGCAACCCAATTACCTAGTTTCCTCACAGACTGTAATGAGTACAGTTAGCATAAAATTGGTCTATAAATTTAATGGGCAAATTCTTGTTGTGTGGACATTGAAAACACTAGCAAAAATGTGGCAAGCCCTGTTAGAGTCTATATAGTAACTTGTTCCCATTAGATGCTTCCTTGACAAAATGCATTACTGTAAAATATCCATCAAATCTGTTCAGTACAAGGAGTTCTTAAAGTATTAGCTCAACAGGGGTGGAAGTAGAGTTGAAAGTTCCTTCAGGAAAAAAAACTTCTTTTTGTCTGGGTTAGCAGTAGGGGTTTTTTCCCTTTTTAACATGGTATTACGACTATACATTCAAACTTGTGATATATTTCAGGTTGTGGTTAGTATCAGGCCAGTTTTGTATGTGCAGCCTTATAAGAATACTTGGATCAGTTCTTCTAAATGTAAAATATACGTATAGATGATAAAGATAAAAAAAGAAACAAACATGTTGGTACTGCACTGAAAAGGGAAGGGGGTGCTGGAGTCCCCCAGCCAATGCAGAGATTCTCAAACAAGGATTCCGGCAGCTGCTGATGTACACAGGTGCCAGCAGTTGTGTAGTTTGCTGGATGTAACCAGGTCTGAGGCACTTCAGAATTTCTAGCTGATAGAATCCAAAGGATGCTTTTCCCTCACTTCTAGAGCTGATTTGTCTATGATGGGAAATTCTCTTTGTGACTGTATTTTTATACAGTACAGTAAAGAAAACTGAGAAAAACATAGTTACGTTGCACTGACCTGCCAAGAATGAAGTGGTAAAAATTACAGGCCACAAGAACATGTACTTAGTAAAATATGAAGTTTCTTCTACTTTGCCTGTTCTGTAGAGCATGAATAAACTGTCAAAAACCCCCGAGGCTTGAAGAATAGAACCAAGTTTTTCAAAGTATGTTTTCATGATGGACTTTTCATTTCACCTCTTTGTGCAAGCAGGCATTACTGGAAAGAGGGATGAATGTAAGAGACTTTTCCCTATCACAGACTTCTCAATCATGAAAATGCTTTAATTACTTTGACAGTGCATCCATTTTAAAAGTACTTTTATTGCATCATTCTGTTAAGTACAATGAATAAAATTACGGCTATGGCTACGACTGTGAAAGTAGGAGTGAGTTATTTCTTGTGGACTAGAACACCGACTTAGTGGCACTGACTTTCCTAGGGATTTATGCCCTACCACACTTTTTCCTACTTGATAATTTTGTACAGCACAGTTGCCTGCCTTCCTGTTTTTGCCTTATAACACTAACTGAGCAAATGGAATAGTGTGGCTGATCCTGGGCTGCTTCTGTGAACTAGTGGGCCACTGTGTGTACTCTGTGGCTAGCAGCTGGCCAAACAAAACAGGCAGTGTGTTCAATTCTCTTGTTTGTAGGTCCATTAGAAGATGTATTGTTACACTTCTAGGATTTAACTCACAGCAATGTAAATTCTTTTATTAAAATGTATTATTTGCTTACATTATATAAAGAAATTTGATCTTTAAATTTCCGAAGTATGTAATGTTGGATGTTCACGTTGGTATCGGATTAATAATTGTGTTCCGAGTTAGACCCAAAGAATTTTAATCCTGTGGGACTTCTAACTTTAGTTTATTCCAGAAATGGTATTTAAAAGCAAGTATTCAAATAAAGTTTTTTTTTTTAGTTCCTGAACTCAATGTGAATCCTTCAATGAGGGGGAAAAGCATGGAGCAGTCCATTGCTGGCCTCCATCAAACTGAACTGTACTTTTCTAAAATAGAAGTTCTTGTGCAGGAGAAGTGTACTGAGGACTTTTGTTCAGAGAGGGTCACTGAAAAGGTAGGTCAAAGTTTTAAATAAATCTCTTTAGAGACTGTCTTCCTATCTTATACAGTAAATCGGTGCATCTCTCTTCACTAGTAGCTAAAGAGTAAAGATCTTAATAAAGTGGAAATTAAAACATGCATTCCTCCTAAAAAATGCTTTGTGACTGATAAAATAGAAGTAGAGGTAAGCACAAAGCAAAGCCATGTTTCCCAAGAAGTTTGTTATGAAAAAATAGACACATAGGTAAGTTTGGAAGCTGGCTGCAAGCCAGGTAAGTAAAGCAACGTTATTGTTTGTAAGAATACTTGTGTTGCAGTCCAATACTTGACTATTCTCTTCAACTATTTTTTTTAGCACAAGCTTTCGCATCTATTGGAAGTAAAACACTTGTGCTCTACAATGAATATAAATATCTGTGGCAATATGTCATAGGTCTGTGCTGTGTGAGTACCGTCTTCCGCTTGCCTTCTCTTACATAACAGAAATTACAACTAAAAGTGGGGGGGAAAGTTATTAAATACCATACACAACTTTAAGTGAAAATGAGAATGTCATGTTAAAGAGATACTGTTTGGGAAAGGTGCCTTAGTGTTGCAATGATGGGAACAGTAAAATAATCTCTGTTCATATAACTTTCTTGGGTCAGAGTTTTTCTGTAGTGTCATTCTTGCAGGTTTTGGGTTGCATATGAGTTAAAAGTTCGAGATTTACAACATTAACCCCAGCACACTGCTGTACATGTGTGCAATAGCCAGCATTCAAAATAGGTACCTACAGCAACCCCCATCAGCCACCTGTTGAAAGTCCTACGTAAATCTGATCTTAGTGTTTTCCTAGAAATCACCTTTTCAGCTATGTTCTTAGGGAACAGACTTTCTGAGCGTACTTCATTTAAAAAAACCCAATAATTTAAACTCCAATACAGTGCCATTAACTAATAATATTTTTACTAAATTGTACACCTGACAAGAAAATAATTTAACAGTAATGAGAACATTAAAACCAGTATTCTATGGGCCACATACAGTTTGTATTTTAGTAAAACATGCATGTTTTTATAATGTATTTTGCAGAAATATAGAATGTGATTACTCTTTTTTTTCAGTGTTTATATATGCAGTTATTGTCACTTGTATTAAGTTGTTTTGCAGCTTATCCAGCTCAGTGGAATACGGCTAACTGTATGTTGCTGAGTATTTATATTTAACTTCTTTCTCAAAAGGCAAAAATGCATAATTATTTCTAAAACAAAGTGTGAAAATCCCTGTTCTGGTAAATTTTACTTAAAAGCGTAGTATAAATTGACCACAGGAGAATGAAGTTTGTGATTGAAGAGAAATGTAACTTGAAAAGATACAGCTGTAGTAGATGAAAATATGTGAGAACCATGAGGACTTCCCTCTTTTACCAAGAACTAGAACAGCAAAGATGAGAGAAGGAAACTAAGGAAAGAAAGATGGCTCACAACTTGTCTTGAAGTTTGCATTCAAAACTAATGACAAAGACTTAAAGGTATTGCCAACTCAAGATTAAAAAAAAACAACATTAAAAGTCCTATTTTTCTTTAACCTTATTTAATAGTTTAGATTTCCTTATGTATTTTTCTATTTCACCTTCTCATGCCCTGCCTTCCCCTTTATACTGTAGACAACACTCTGCTAGTTTTTCGTTTTCAAGCTGTGTTGCTTAGAGGTACTCAATCATAAATCACAATGGTGAGTTTCTTTCTATTTACTAAATGAAAGAGTGCACATGACTTTGGGATTGAATGATAAGTTTGGTTGCCACAAATGCTTTGGCTTAAGACCTTGACATTCATTCCCTCTCCACAGGCATTTATGTCAGGAAAACTCAATTGTTTGAGCACTCATGGAAAGCAAATACAAGAAGTGCAGTATGACTAAAGCAAATTCACTGAAAAATGTAAGTCCATAGATGTTTTTCAGTACTTTCTGCAACAGCCAGAACTAAAAACAAACCAGAAATTCACTAATATCACCACTGTGATCTGTGGTGGTTTTGTAATTCAAAAATTAATGGATAATGACAAGAAAAAGGGTGAAAACTGAAGATGTGCGGCTACAGAGCTGGAATGTGATTAGACATTGAAATGAGCCTTGCAGCCGGCTTGAGCTCAGGCAGGTCTTTTTACTTCTGCAGGAATTGGTTGCACGGTTGCATGTAAAATCTGATAATAGGTCACATGAGTCTGGCTGGAGCAGGTCTGGAACTTTGACCTCCAGATACTGAATTATCACAATCTGTGTTTTCCTTTGCTGAATGAATTTGCCGCAGTTTTTTAAAGCTGGTGATTATTACCATATGCTACTCTGAAAGGGAACAAAGGGTATAGCTACAAACAGTGAAGCTGGCATTTGTGGCCAGTGTATAAATGACATCATTGTTCTAAGTGGTCCTACATATAGGGCTGGAAGTTCCAGTTTAAGGCAGCAGGATCCTGGTGGGTATGCCTCTGCGAAGGAAGAGCAGGAGGCACAAAAAAAATGAACAATAAATCTTGCACATAGTTTCTGTTTGCCCCTTGTTGCTCACAGGCCCTGAAGAGCAAAGCTTGCAAAGTGGCTTGAAAGTTTCTGCTTTTTTTTTTTTTTTCCCCCAAAAAAATACTTGGGGAAGGGGGGGGATGATGACACATACAGACACTAAAAGTGGATGGAATCCCACTCTGTTTATCATGGTTACATTAGTTCCACCAGGCTAACTGGAGTAAGGAGTCAGAAAATTCCTTTCCATCACTGAATGGTAGGTAGAGCCAGAATACTATAAATGTGTCCAGAGCACAACTCTGAATTCAGATTTTCTGGGTTTACAGTTTTGTTTTAAAGAGACCTCTCTGGCCTTGCAAATAGGTCTTAGAAAGTGGCTAATATAAAAGTTTGAGGGGACAGATGGTTGAGACACACTAAAGATAGGTCTGGTTTTCCCCATGTTCCCCAGGGGAAGGCAACTATGCTATATTTTACTTAGTTGATGGTACAGGGGCTACTCTGAAACCATCCAATCCCATTTTGGCTAAATTTACTTAATACTGACTCTACAGCAATTACCTCATTTTTTAGTGAGAATTGTAAAAGGGAGAGGATAGTCTGTGGAGCATCAGAGAACTAAAGAGCCAAAAGACTTCAATGCATTTGACTTTCCTTATGACACGTATTTCAGCGTGTGCCTGTTTGTTGTATCCACTTCATCCTTCCTTCTTAATTTTCCCTTGTATGGCAGATTGTGCCTCACCAAGCCTCTTAAATCATAATAAATCAGCTGTAAAAATTGAAATTATTAATTACTGCTTTTTTCTGGTTAGTTTTATATATGTTTAGCTTTTCCACGGTCCCATGTTACTTATGGAAGGACCTAAACCATGTTCATTGATACATACCAAGCTGAATGTGGATTGAGTGCTGCTGTGATAAACTGTAATGTAATCTGTTCTGCAAATGTAGGAGTGATAATAGCTGATTGCAAATTTAGAAAGTGTTTTTGAGAAGGAAAAAAGTTTAAAACTATTTTTTCTGCAGAATTTATCAAAGCTTTCTTGCTTTTATCTGGTGTTAAAATGAAGGACATGAGGAATTATACTTGCTATAATTTATAATCAATAGGAGAGAGGTGAAGAAAGAAAAGTCTTTGCCTAAAATCTATAGAGGTTATTCCAAACAGAAGAATAGAATTGGATAAAGGTGTCAAAGTACTGACAGAGAACACTATGAAAAGGAATCGGAAAGAAGGCATTTGGAGCGGAGAATTAGCGAAATAAGCAAAACTAAAGCCCAAGATGTCAGTTTAGGGAAGAGTCGGAGAGTTCTGAAGCTGAAAATGAAAAGCCTGAATGTGATGTGAAAGATAACGGAAGGACAACACCAGGTTCCAAGGGTGGGGGGTGGTTAACAGCTGTATTTCCAATAAACCAGAGAACACAGGGTGACAGGCAGGAGAAGGGGTAATGTCAAAAGTATCTACTATGGTTTTGGGATCAGAGAGAGGGGAAAACAGATTTGGAGAACAATGTGAAAGGAAAGCAGATAGGGTTTAGCAATAGCTTAGCTAAAGGAGAAATAGGTTTGAGTGTTCTGATGATGGAAGAAAAGAAAAAGTTTGACAGAAGGGAAAGAAATCTAACAAACTTGAAACATTTTTTTTTTTTTTTTTGTTAGCTGGAGGTGACAAGGCACACCTTCAACTCTACTGCTAAAAATGGGAGCTGGGAGTACAGCCAGCAGAGATTTAGATCACTCAAAGGCAAAAATGACTTTTGAGAATGGGTGATGTCATTTAGGTGAAAGAGACAAAGTGCGCCAAAAGAGCTCCCTTGAGGCTGCAGGGAAAGGAAGTTTGTCTTATCAGCTTATTCAATGAGATTAAGTTAGAGGAGGAGGAGTTATTACTTTTCCTTTCCTCTTTGACATTATACAGATTGATAGGTGCAATCATCAAAAAGATTAAAAAACTATTATGAAGATAAGATTTGGACTTTGTCAGTGTCTTCCTGGTTGCTTGGATAAGTCTGACAAAAAGATAACACTGACAAAGTTTTGGAGAGAGGTTCACTGGAACAGGTTCAGTAGTAAAGATGAGAGGCTGAAAATGAGAGAAGAGTCAGTGTGGAGAGTAGTGTAGGCTGACTCTAATGTATGTGAAATTCAGGGTAAGCTCAGTATTTC